CTGGCATGTGGTGCTGGGGGATTGAACCGCGGTCCCTGTGCTTTGCCAAGCTTGTTCTAAGTAGGTGCTTTAGACCACTGAGCCATCTCACCAGCTCCTGGTTTTGAATCGTTTTGGGGAAACCAGTCAGCAAAGAGAAAGGACTTCCAGAACAGCTTCAGACAGTGGCAAGACAGAAACGTTCAGCGTCTTGGGAGCAGGTGCCTCCCCGTGGGCCTCTCCCTCGGCGCCAGAGGCAGATGCTAGAACCACAGAGCATGGCTTGAATGGACCTACCAGACTGTGGACTTACGGAAGATGACATTTTCCCTGCACTGGCCCCTCCAGCCCCTCCACAGAGAGAGGGTGCAGGAGCGGATCCAGTGAAGAGTCAACAGAGAACCTCTGGTCCCAGTAGTGGGACCAGAGACAACAGTTAAAAGGAGCATGCCTGGGCTGAGCGTGCAGAGATTAAATTCACAGACGGGCCTTCCAGCCTTCAGCCTCGTGTCTGAGAGGTAAAGGCCGAGAGGCTGAGGACTTGAAGACGCACATGGGAGCATGAGCACTGGGCACATGCTGTTCTCCAAACTGCTATTGCAGGATTTGATTGACAGTTGAGTACTTGGGAATTAAGTTCAGACTTGTTTAAAACGAGTTCAGCTTGTTAGCAATAGTGATGAGTTAGAGGAAAAGAATGGCCTTGGAATGTGGTCCTTCCGGCGAGCTCAGCAGAGGGTCAGCAACTCACTCCTGAGCCAAGGCGGAGCCCCCGGAGGAGTGGCGGAGGGCAGCCGAGAGTGGAGAGGAGCGGGCCGCTGGTCCCAGGGAGGCAGGCAAAGCTGCGGGGCAGCAGCCAGGGCTCAGGTTGTCAGCGCACAGGCGGCTGCGGAGGTGCCGGCTGGAGAGGAGCTGGAGCGAGCTGAGTGCAGAGGGAGGGAAATGAGAGGAAACGCCGCAGGACCTGCCTTGCCGGTGCAGCTCAGTCATGCCTGTAACGCGAGCCCTCGGGAGGCTGAGCAGGAGGAGCACCGTAAGTCTGAGGCCAGCCTGGGCTACTGGGCGAGTTCAAGGCCAGCCTGAGCCCCATAGGGAGACCCTGCCTCAAAACACCAAAATAAGGGTCAGCCAAGTAGCTTGGGGGATTAAAGCGCCTGCAAGAAGGTGCAGGGGGGGGCGCTGGGGAGATGGCTCAGTGGAATAAGCACTTCCCTGGCAAGCACAAGGGCCTGAGTTCAATCCCCGGGTCTGCAAAAAAAAAAAAAAAAGAAAGAAGGTGCAAGGGCCACCAGTTTGATCCCCGGGGCCTGCCTTGCAGGCTCTTCCCCTGGGGTGTGCTGAGATGGCAATTGAGACTGGTTGGGGTGTGCACACCTGTCAGCCAGCCCTTGGGAGGCTGTAAGCAGGCAGAGCACTACTAGTCCGACCTAGTAGTGGGACCTGAACACCCAGTAGACCCTTCCCTAAAATACAAAAAAAGCCCAACAACAAAAAACAAAATAATATGTACAGCTCCATGCTGCCCGGTTACTGAGGGTAGTGGCCTCAGGTAAGAAAGTGCAGTTACTTGACACTCTGCAAGCTTCCTTGGGGAGGCAAGTATTTTGTTTGTATGAAAATTTTTAGGTAGTAAAAGGTATGCAAAATCCTACTTTAATTTTTTTTTTTTTTTTTTTTTTTTTTGGTTCGCTTACTGCCTTCACACATAGTTCAGCCTGTGTCCTCTTGAGAGCTTGTGTGGAGTTCTAGCTGCGGAGCGCAGCTGCTCTATACCCCTGACCGAGGAGCGGTCCTCCTCTGTCGGGGACATGCACGGGTCGTTGAGGGAGGAAGGGGACACCCGCCTAGGCAGCGGGTCAGCCGAGTCAGCCCTGGCGATCAGCAGGGCGGCAGGTGTCGCAGCCCGATCGCCCTCACATCCTGTGTGTCATCTTGAGTACTGTTTTTGCACACCTGTGATCTCAAGAACGAGTAACAGTGAACACGCGGCCCGGCTGCGGCTGCCGGTCTACGCCGAGCTCGGCTGCGGAGTGCGGTCACGCTGGAAATGTAGACACGTTCTGGCCATTAATGTTTCTTTTTATTTATATTTTTTGATACTTAGAAAAGCTGTTCATTAAAAGCAAAAACCACTCCCGTTAGGCTCCTTCACACAAAGGTTCAGGGAACAGCTGGCCTTCCACTTGGCTGCCAGGTATCCCAGGTAGAGCGTCAGGGGGCCGCCGCGGACCGCGCTGCTCAGCGCTGCGATCCGGGCCGTGTGCGTCCCCCGCCGGCCTCCCGACTCCTAGGTCCCGGGAGCCGATGGCGGGACAGAAGGCTGTCTGGCTTCGGTGCTTCCCAGGGCTGGCTGGAGGGGGACTGGCCCCCGGAAGGGGACTTGTGAACACCTCTGCGCTTGCAGCTGGGTGCCCTGCCTGGTGACCCTACAACCCGCGCTGACTTGGGGACTCAGTAAAGCTCAAGAAAGCTCAACTCTGCCTGTCTTTATTTTATTTATTTTTTTTTTTGCGGAACTGGGGATTGAACTCAGGCCCTTGTGCTTGCCAGAGAAGCACTTATTCCACTGAGCCATCTCCCCAGCCCCATCTGCCTCTCTTTAAAAAGAAGTAAAAAAGGGACTGGGGAGATGGCTCAGTAGGATAAG